CTACACCAACGCACACCAACACACGGAACAACAACAAAATCGCCGCCAGATCCACCAAAATCGCCGCTGATCCGCCATAACCATGCAACCACCCTTAGACTGAAAAATCACCACAGCAACACTGACAAACATCAACCATTAAAATTACCATACCCATCCAATCAAAATCAAAATCAAAACTAAAAAAATAAAAAAGAAAAAAATCAGATCTGCAGCAGCAAGAAGGCAGCAGCAAAAAGGCCAAAAATGGTGGAAGACGATGATGTGCCGGCGATGTGAGCTGCTGTAAGTTCGAACTTTGCTGTTCACGACGCACGCTGCTGTGCCGATTGCCGTGTCCCTGTGAACAGTAATGTGGGGACGAACAGAAAATAGAGAGGGATAGTGAAGACGAGCGACAGAGAGATGATGGAGAATAAGCGTCGGCGGCCGTGTCAAGTGGATGAAGGATTGGAGGCCGTTGCGGCGACGGGGAGGAGAGCAGACGACGGAGAGAAGAACCGACGAAGGAGAATGTGACGTATTGCAGAGAGCGATGAACCGATGGTAGCGGGGATGAGAGATGAACCGACGGTAGCGGGGAGCGGAGCGGCACGGCGGCAACGACTTATTCGGAGTGGAGAGGATGGGCTAATCCTTTTTTAGGGTTTGTGGATATATAGGATATGGGGGAGGAGTATATATAAAATTAATTTATTTTAAATAGCTATAAAAATAAAAATAATGTTTTTAAATTATTAATTAAAACTTGAATTTTGTAAAATGAAACTTGATTCAAGATTTATGAAATTGGTAATCTAAAAGGAGGGTTTGGTGTAATTTCCTTTTTAATCAAACTTGGGCTTAGTATAAAAAAGGTATAGTCACTCTTGGTCACCAAACTTATTTTAAATTAGCATGCAAGTTTAAATTGTTTCAAACTCATTACTAAACCTTACAAAATATTCATTTACTAATTTAGGGTGTCTCTGACATTGATTTTATCCAAATTAATACCACATTTTTTATCCTTTTTTTCAATTGATGGCCCCCACACCTCACATGTGGTCAAATGTTGCGGCTGTAGGCGTGTGCAACGGTTGGGATTCCAATTAACATTTGTCAATTAATTGCTTTCAGATATAGTCTTAATTACACATTCATTTTATATCTGAAAAACCAATTCATCAAATAATTAGAATTCATGTTTGATTAGTGTTTTTAAACGATGAAAATTATAAGTAAAAATGAGTGATATATAGATAAACAATAATACTTCTCAAAATATGTGAATAAAAAGTAAATTGAGGCCATGTTTGACACAGATTAAAATTTTAATTCTCATTCTTCTACTCATTTTCAATCACACATTTTTCAATAAAATAATATTTTCTACCACATCAATAACTTTTCCTTCTTTTTCAACCACACATTCTCCATCAATCTACTATTTCAAAATACATTTTTCCAAAATAATATCCATCAAACACACCCTGAGCGTTTATAAATAGTTTATGAGGTTGTTTGATCAAGGGAAAATGAGGAAGTTGTTAGCAAAATTACACCCAGGCCCTGTTTGGAAGGGATTTAGATTTTTCTACAGTAAATCAATTCTCATTTTCAACCACACATTCTTCAATAAAATAATATTTTCTACCACATCAATAACTTTTCCTTCTTTTTCAACCACACATTCTCCATCAATCTACTATTTCAAAATACATTTTTCCAAAATAATATCCATCAAACACACCCTGAGCGTTTATAAATAGTTTATGAGGTTGTTTGAGTTTCATTTTTTTGCTCAAAATGCATTTTTAAATATTATTTTGATGGAGAATGTATAGTTAAAAAATAAGAAAAATATTTTAAAAATAATGCGAACCAAACAAGGACTATATATCAAAGCCAAATATTGAATTAGTTAAATTCTACGAGTTGGTACTTAGACATGTTTAAAATGATAGACAAATTAATAGTTTGAATGTAACATTTCCTAAGTGCAGTCAAAGTATGATAAACTATAAGTTCAATGGCCAAGTTGACACTAAGTGAAAACGTTCAGTGGCCATTATTGAAATTAATCTTAGATAGATATAAACTTTTTTTTTAATAAATATAAATAGTTGCACGCGCTCTGTTTTTATTGCGTTGCCCTAATCAGAAATCTCCGTGGAGAGCAGTTTTCAAGATTTCTTCCCTTCAGGTTCTGCCGTTCAGGTACTCGTTCCTTGCAGTTTTATAATCTCTGTTGCTATTTCTTAATTATTGGATCTGATCTATATTTTCTTTTGCTTGTTCATCAATGTTCGTATGTTCATTTTTTTGTGTTTGACTCTAGGGTATTTGTTAGTGCATATTGGTGCTTACTGGATCATGTGTACTATTTCTTTTCCCATTGAATTTCCATTTTTTGTGATAAATTTTTTGGTACTTTTTCGAGCTGTATAAAAGATGCCTATTTGTTTTTTACTTGTTGAAATCATGAATTAATGATCTGTGAGCTATAAAGAACGAATTGATGATGATTATAAAGTTTTTATGATTGCAATTTATGTATTAGCTATAGCTTTGATGCCCACAATCCTTTTCTTTTATTTTTCTTATATAGTTCTTTTTTGTTATAGAACCCTAGTTGTAATACTTCCACTTTTCTGGTGGGGATTTAAAAAAAAAAGACAGAAACTTTTTTGAGGATAATATAAATTTGCAAGTGAGATAGTATAATTCATTTTCGATTGGGTTATGTATGCTGCTTTGCCAGAAAGTGATTGACGGATGGAGTGACATAATGTGTATTCAAAATAGTCCAATGATGAAGTGCCACGTGGCATTATGTCAACCATTGTGTCAATGATTATGTCACTTTTTCGATTTTAAGTCTCAAGGGCTGAGATAATGAGGATTTCAAAATTTTGAATACCAATAGGATGTAATATATGTTGTATTATCTCTAGCTAATTTTCTCTGCATTCCCAAATTTTGCGTGTCTATATTTCTTTAAGTTTACATTTTTTCATTTTTCAAACTGAAACCAATGGTACTAATAATACACTTTCTTGTTCTTTCATGATTGTAAATAATTTTGGCCCCCTCATTATAATATTTTAAGCCCATGTTTGTCTATCATTATTTCAATTTTTTTTTAAACTCATTTTCAACCACCCATTCTCACAACAAAATATTTTGCACGTAAATCCAAAACTTTTTCATACTTTTTAACCGT